ACATATAATCTGGACTTGTCTGCAAATACATTTTGTTGAGGAAGTTTGTATGTATATTATGAAAGGTTATGAAACTGTAGTTTCTTTTCCTTTTATTTCTTTATCTAACATTAGAATCAGAATAATACTTCATAAAATGAATTGAAAATTTCTTTTTAATGTATATGATAGAACTCACAAATGAAGTGCCTGGGCATTTTGGGGTTTTTTTGTGTATTTTTTTATGTGAACTTTTATTAGTCTTTTTTCTACAGATCTGTCTAGATTTTCCATTTCTTGAGTTAGTTTCTTGGCTTATGTCTTTCTAGGAATTAGTCTGTTTCATCTAGATTATTAATCAGTTGGAATATCATTGCTTATGATATTTCTTTGTAATCTCTTTTATTTGTACAGGAGTAGTAAGCCTAAGTATTTCTTTGGATGCCCTTTACCAGGTTTATCTCTTTCTAGTTTGCTGAGAATTTGAATCATGAATGAGTATTGAATTTTGTCACATTTTAGCATGACTTAATATCTAATACAGTGATTTTTCTTATTTTTTCTTTCAGTATAGGAATTGAAGTGACAGATTTTCAAATTAACCCCAACTTGCGTTTCTAGAATAAACTCCATTTATGATAATGTAGGAATTTGGGTTTTTGGGTTTGGTTTGGTTTGGTTTTGCAGCACTGGGGATTGAATCGGGGCCATCACACTGAGCTGCCTCCCAGCCCATTTTTATTATTTTGTCTTCAGGCAGTATCTTGTGAAGTTGTCCAGATTGGGCTTAAACTTTCAGTCCTCTTTCCTCAGCTTCCCAGAGTGTGGGATACAGCTGTGAGGCACAGGCTTCTGTGTTATATATTGCTGTGTTTATAAAGTTTGCTAACTTTTTTTTGGTGCTGTGAATCGGATCTAGGTATTCACACATGCTAGGCAAGCACCCTGCCACTGAGCTGCACCCTCAGATCCCAGTTTGCTAGTATTTTGTTAAGGATTTTCACATATCTGTTTATGAGGGATGTTGCTCTAAAAGTTTTTTTTTTTTTTTGAGTGCTTCTTTTTTTGGTTTTGGATCAGGGAAATGGCACGTTCATAAAACAAATTTAGAGATGTTCTTATCTCTTCTGTTTTCTAGAAGAATTTATATTTTTTTCTTTTAATGTTTATTCAGATTTACCAATAAACTTTTATGAGCCTGTGAAAATCTATTGTATTGTCAATTCAATTTATTTAACAGTTGCAGGACTATTTCAGATTATCTATTTCTTCTAGAGTGAACTTTATTTCTTTGTGTCTTTCAAGATATTTCACTAAATTGTTTAATTTATTGGCATAAAGTTTGTAATCATTTTTAGTCCCTTTAATATCTCTGGCCTCTGTAAAATGGCCCTTCTTCCATTCCTAGTACTGATGATTTGTGTCCTCGGGCTAAAGCTTATCAATTTTATTGATTTTTTTTTTTTTTTTTGCAAAGAATCAACTTTTACATTCATTGATTTTTTTTGAATTTTTTCTTGTTTCTATTTCATTTCTGCTTTTATTCATATTGTTTCTTCTTACTTTAGACTTAAATTACACCCTACCCCCCACCCCACTTCGCCAATGAGGTCTTCTCCCATCTTTTCAGATGGGGTCCAGACCATTTTCCAGGCTGGTCTCCGACCCATGGACTTGAAGTAATCTTCCTGCCTCAGCCTCCCAAGTAGCTGGGACTACAGGTGTGTGCCACTACACCTAGCTTCTTTAGACCTCCTAAGATCGAACCTAATGATACTTACTGATTTTTAAGCCTTTCGTTTCTAATATTGAAGGCTACAAATAAACATTGCTCTAAATAATACCCCACACATTTTGAAATGTTAATGTTTTTGTTTTCATTTAATTCAAAACTTTTTTGCAGTTTCATGTTTTTTTCTGTGACCCAGGAGTTATGTAAAAGTATAATATATTTAGTAGTTATAATTTTTCTAAATGTCTTCTTGGTGTTGACTTGAAATTTAACCTTATATGATTTTGATATTTTCTGCCTCACCTCCTTTTTCTGGAAATCCAGTTATATAAGTATTAGACTGCTTCATGTTGCCTCTCTGGCTATTCATTGTTTGTTTGTTTGAGACAGGGTCTCACCATGTAGTTCAGACTGGCCTTGAACTCACTATGTAGCTCAGATTGGCCTTGAACTTGTAGCAGTCCTCCTGCCTCTGCCTCCTAAGTGCTAGGATTACAGGTGTGTGCCACCACTTGTGGCTATCTGTCCATTTATGATCAGTGTTTTTGTTTTTGTTTTCTTTTCTCACTAACAGTTACTGACAAGGTAAAGTTGAAATCTCTAGTTACAATTGTGCATTTATCTATTTTTGTTTGACCTCTCCATTTTTACTTAACATGTTTTAAAGCTCTGCATGTACCTTTAGGATTATTATATATTCTTGGTAATTTGACTCTTTATCATTACACAGGGTCTCTTACTATCTTTGCTTTTTTTTTGTACTGGGGATTGAACTTGAGTCCTTGTGCTTGTGAGGCTGATTGCAGAACCACTGAACTAAATCTCTGGCCCTTCTTGGTAATATTTCTTATTCTGAGGTTTAGTTTGTTTGTTTGTTTGTTTATTGGTACCAGGGATCGAACTCGGATCCCTGCGCTTGCAAAGCAGGTGGTGAAACCACTGAGCTAAGTCCCCAGCCCTGAGGTCTAGTTTTATAAAATAACATGACCCACATAGCTAGCTTTCTTTCTATTATTCTGTCCATGGTATACAGTACTTTATTCAGCTTATTACTCTTAATTTGCCTCAAAAACATACTATTAGATCGGGTCTAGCTTTTTCCTTAATGAAACTGAGTTTTCCATGGAATTTTAAGACATTGGCATTTATTTTGAAATCTGAGAGTATTGTTGAGTATAAATTTTCCATCTTTCTGCTTATTGGCTATTCATCTTCTTTTTTCTTTGTTCCATTTTTCCTTAATTCTGCTACCTTATTTTGGATTGAGAATTTTGTAGGATTCTATTTTTGTCAAAGCAATTAATTTATCCTTGCTGTAGTTTGATTTATTTTTGGGTTTTAAACTGTATATTTTGAATTGATGATCTCCAATTAACATTAGTCTGCTTTCCAATATTGTGTGAGAATCTTACAGCAGAGTCTTCTAATTTCCCTTTCTGGTCTTGCTGATCTTATTATATAACATTCTTTTACATATAATTGCCATAGTCCTCGAAGCTGATGAGCAGTTAAATTTCAAAGTGATTAAAAATGAGGGTAGAGGTTTGTTTGTTTGTTTGTTTGGGGTTTTTTTCTTTTTTTTTTTTTGTACCAGGATTGAACTTGGATCCTTGTGCTGGAGAGGCAGGCAGCGGCACCACTGAGCTAAATCCCCAGCCCTAGAGATTTTTTTAAAATATTTATTCATACATACAGAGTTTTTTTCAAATACTCTACTTTTCTTTCTGAAGCTCCAGATTCTTACTTGTATTATTTTTCTTGGACCTCAAGAACTTCTTTAATATTTTGCATAATGCAAATCCCTTTTTTGTTTTAAAAGTCTGTTTCATCTTCATCTGTGAAACGTACTATCACTGGATGTAGACTTCTAGGCTGACATTTTCTTGTAGTATTTTATTCTCTTGACTCCAGGTTGCATAGTTTCTGATGAAAAGTCTGTAGTTAGTCTTGTTTTTGTTTATATGTACATAATTTCCCTCCTTCCTTTAAGGTTATTTTTTCTTTTCATTGGTTTTCAGCAGTTTGATTCTATGGGATGCCATGTATTAGTGCTGTTTCATTTATGTTTGTTCTGCTTGGTATGCATTGAGCTTTTAGAATGCTTTAGTTTTTGTCCAATTTGGAAAATGTTTGACCATTTCTTCAAATATTGTTTTGCTCCTCTCCTTTTTTATCAGATTCCCATTTTAATACTTATGCTTATATTTATGAGTATATTAAACTACCTGCTATTGTCCATGCTGTTTATTTTTTTGAGACTTTTTCATGTGTGTGTGTGTGTAAAATTTTTTTTACACAATAATTCCACTTGGGTTAGTCCTGGTTTGAACTGTTTTTGTTTTTTGGTTTTTTTAAAACATTTTCCATTTTTCTCTTTATGATGTTCATGTTTTCCTTCACATCTTTGAACATGTTTAGGATACAGCAGCTGTTTTTAAGGCCTTTATCAGCTAACGCAGCATCTCTTGTCATTTCTGTGTCTGATTCTTTGATTGGTCGTTCTGGCCACACTTCCTACTGTTCTCACTGTATTTCTTTGTCTGTGATGTATTTACTTACGATACCTTTGTGTTTTGGAGGCCTGTTCTTAATGTAGCCTGCTGACTACAGCAGCTATGGGGCAGCCTCTAGTCTGTGACAAATGTAGTTTCATAGCTATGAAAGCCACTCACTCTGTCCGGCTCCTTATGTGTTTGAAGTCTGTGTCCCAGCTCTGTACCATTTTTCTCTCTGATCTTGGACAGTATTTTCTAATAGCTGGACTTCAGTTTTCACATCTTACGGAAAAGCGTTTGGTGACTTAGTACTTTGTGTCACGTAGGTAGTGCTTTGGCTTTGTTTTGTTCATTTTCTAAAACTTCCAGTAAATACACTAAAGAGGCAAAAAGCACACTCTAAAGAAGTGAGCGGGGAGGAAGTGCTTTTGACCACTCCGTTTCAGAGCTGCAGCTTTTTGATGGTGTAGGTGTGGGTTGCCAGCCCAGGCTCAGTATGCGGTGGCTCCCACCGAGAGCCCCTCTTCCCCAGGCACTGAGCTGAGCCCTTCCCGTGCCGTCTCCAGAGCCCTTCCAGGGGTTGTCTGATGGCAGCGTGGTTGTCCCCGTTTTCCCAGATGATGAAGATGAGGCTTTGTAAGCACACATAGTTCTGTAAGGAAGATCCAGGACTCAACGCACATCTGAGTCCCGAAGGTCACATTTCACTTGTAACCCCCCGCACTAGTTCTCATCTTGTTCGTCACCAGCCTCTTTCCCCTCAAAGTAACACACTCTTCTTGTTGTACTCACAGCTGACAATGAAAACAACATCCCCTCTAACCAGTCCCGATCACCACCTGCTGTCGTGGAAGAGAAGTGGAAACCTCAGGGCCAGAGGAACAGTGCCAATAACAGTATGTCTCCGCAGCAGTGCTGGGCCCTGGGGTTCACAGAAGTCCTGTCAGTTTTGCTCCAGTTTTTCCTCCCCGCCATTCCTACTGGCTGAGTCTCCTGTGGCAACACATGGTGATGCACAACAGTTTCCAAAACATGCTTACAATAAAGACATTATTTTCAGAAATTCTTAATGCGCAAGGATGGGCAGGAAGCCCAGGGAGATGAGGTAATATTTCTAGTCAGAAAAATACCAGTTAGAATCAGAAGAGAGCCCCCACCTCTCCACAGTTTCTTTTGGCTTTTTCCTGACACTGTCTTCATACATTGTACTAAAGATTCTTTTAGTGCTGATTCCTATATTGTCTTCAAACATGTAAATGAATGGCACATATGGAAAACATATTGCATACATATCACTATTCTATCCTTATGCCTCTGGCAGGCATTTCAAATCAACCATAGAACTTTATCCTTGTTAAACAAGGATATCATGTTAAACAGCTAGCACCACCAGTTCGCGTATAAGATACAATCTACTTGTCATTCTTAGTACTAGGAGTTTAGATTAGGTGGCTGCTAGGCCAGGCAGTCTTAAACACCAGAATTAATCATATCTCTCTGTATTTTCTGCCAGCCACAACCAGTGGTTTAACACCCAATAGCATGATCCCTGAAAAGGAGCGGCAGAACATCGCAGAGCGGCTGTTACGGGTCATGTGTGCTGACCTGGGTGCACTGAGCGTGGTCAGCGGGAAGGAGTTCCTCAAATTCGCCCAGACTTTGGTAGACAGTGGTGCCCGCTACGGGGCCTTCTCAGTCACTGAGATCTTGGGCAACTTCAACACGCTGGCACTAAAGCACCTGCCACGCATGTACAACCAGGTGAAGGTGAAGGTGACATGTGCCTTGGGCAGCAACGCCTGCCTGGGCATCGGCGTCACCTGCCACTCTCAGAGTGTTGGCCCTGACTCCTGCTACATCCTCACAGCCTACCAGGCTGAGGGTAACCACATCAAGAGCTACGTGCTGGGGGTGAAGGGTGCAGACATTCGTGACAGTGGTGACCTGGTGCACCACTGGGTACAAAACGTGCTGTCAGAGTTCGTGATGTCAGAGATCAGGACAGTGTATGTGACGGATTGCCGGGTGAGCGCATCCGCCTTCTCCAAGGCTGGCATGTGCCTTCGCTGCTCAGCCTGTGCCTTGAACTCAGTGGTGCAGAGCGTGCTGAGCAAGCGGACGCTGCAGGCCCGCAGCATGCACGAGGTCATTGAGCTGCTGAACGTGTGCGAGGACCTGGCGGGCTCCACGGGCCTTGCCAAGGAGACCTTTGGGTCTCTGGAGGAGACATCACCGCCACCCTGCTGGAATTCGGTGACAGACTCGCTGCTGTTGGTGCATGAGCGCTATGAGCAGATCTGTGAGTTCTACAGCCGAGCCAAGAAGATGAACCTCATCCAGAGTCTCAACAAGCACCTGCTCAGCAACCTGGCGGCCATCCTCACACCTGTGAAGCAGGCCGTCATCGAGCTGAGCAACGAGAGTCAGCCCACCCTGCAGCTGGTGCTTCCTACCTACGTCCGGCTGGAGAAGCTGTTCACAGCCAAGGCCAACGACGCGGGCACTGTCAGCAAGTTGTGCCATCTCTTCCTCGAGGCACTCAAGGAGAACTTCAAGGTGCACCCAGCCCACAAGGTGGCCATGATCCTGGACCCGCAGCAGAAGCTTCGGCCTGTGCCACCCTACCAGCATGAAGAGATCATCGGCAAGGTCTGCGAGCTCATCAATGAGGTGAAGGAGTCCTGGGCCGAGGAGGCCGACTTCGAACCCGCCGCCAAGAAGCCGCGCACCGCTGCCAGTGAGCACCCCGCAGCTCAGGAGGACGATCGCCTGGGGAAGAGCGAAGTGTACGATTATCTGCAGGAGCCCCTCTTCCAGGCCACCCCAGATCTCTTCCAGTACTGGTCATGCGTGACCCAAAAGCACACAAAACTTGCCAAGCTCGCCTTCTGGCTCCTTGCGGTTCCGGCCGTTGGGGCGAGAAGTGGATGTGTAAATATGTGTGAACAAGCGCTTCTCATCAAAAGGAGGCGACTGCTCAGTCCAGAAGACATGAACAAACTCATGTTTCTGAAATCCAACATGCTTTAAGACTTTACTTCGGGAAAGCAGAAAAACAAAAAGCAAAACAAAAGGAGAACATTAGAAAAGAACACACAACACTGTCACAAACAAAGAAAAGGAATTTAAGTTCTAAACACTGTGGACCTCATTCTAATGCCCCCTGGAAACTTAAGTGCTTTTTTTCAGTGTGTGTGTGCATGTGTGTCTACATCACACATATGTGCACGTGTCTGAACACGCATGCCATGGGTGTGGGGCTTTGTGCTCATCTCTGCAGCCAGAGAACCTTCCACATGCGTGCACACACACACATGACCCTGGTGCGTGTACACACACCTGTTTGCAGGTGTGTGTGCATTGGGCTGGGTGTGTCAGGAAAGCCAAGTGACTGGGAAGGAGAGAGAAGTTTCACCTTTTCTCGGGAAGGGGCTCTAAAGACTCCGTTTTTCAGGTGTGCAGACTGGGAGAAACTGATGTCGTGAAATGTTCAGGCAGCTGAGATCTGAAGTGACTTGACACGCCCTGTCCTCCACCCCTGCCGCCCCCACCCCCTAGCCCCCTAACCCCCACAGCGTCCACTCCCTGCCCCAGCTGCTGTGCCGTGGATTCTCCAAACTGCATCCAATGGACAGTTTCTGCACTGGACTTTGTTTCTTGTTCACTTTCAGGGCATTGAGCTGCTGCCTTTGCGATCACCCTTGGGTGTCCCCAGGCAGCCGCCTTAGAAACACACCTATCTATCTCCCTAAATCAGGAAAGGAGACTTTAAGAATATAAAGCTGACATTTTGCTTTTTAATATAAGAGAGAAAAAAAGACATTTTTCAGAGAAGTATAGATAACTGTCTCCGCTCAGTATGTTTTTTCCTAACATTTTAGTGATTTTTAACTTTTTGGGGGTTCATTTTTTTCAAATTTGAGTTAGACTCTGCTAGGAGGCACTGAATGTCTATAACTTATGTTTTGGAGTGTTTGGGTTTTTTACTTGCCCTTTTTGTTCCTCAAGTCACACTGTAAACTAGCTCATCTCAGTGGTCTATTCAGTATCCTAAGGTTTTTATCAGCCTTTCTCATACAGTCCAGTCCGGGAGACCTAGGGACGGGGAAGGGTTGTGGGTTCCTCAGATGTGGGGTTTGGTGGAAGCCATATGGGCGGCACATGGGGTTCTCCTGAATGTAAGCAGAAGAGCCACCTCCTGGTTGGCTGTGTCTGGTACCGTGAGCATCTGGCTTCTCTTCCCAGAGTGCTTTCCACTCCTCACCACATTCCCCACCCTTCTGGCCCCTCCGGGCTCCAGAGTTGGTCCAAATTCACATCCACCACACCCCACACCCATTCTCTCCTCCCTTCCCAGGGTTCAGGCAGTCTGAAGCCCTCAGGGGTCCCTACAGGCACCTCCAGTGTCCAACCAGGACAGCAGTTGAGCTTGGTGCATTGTGGGCTGAATAGCTGATGCTCTGAGTGTAGACACCCTCAGCTTGATGCTGTGACAGGGTCTTTAGGCCCCTCTCCTGACCTCCCAGCCACGAGCAACCAAGGTTCTGCTGAGAAGAACCCATTCTCTCCAAGATCAGCTTTCAACCCCGCCCCACCCCTGAGTGAGTAAAGAGCTGGTAGTCCCCTGTCCCCCAGGCGTCTGTGGCTGTGGGATAGGGATGGTTGCACTGCAGGCTAGGAATGACCACCGTTGTTGCAGGGGCACCTTCTGCCATTGTGGGGGTTAGCTAAGTGGACCCCCTCACCCACCCAGTAATAAAGCATTACTCAACTGTGAGATACCTCGACTATAAAAAGCACTGTACCATAGCCCTCTCCCCTGGGGCCCTGGCAGGAGGGGAGTAAAGTTGGTTTAAAACTCAAGAAGGCTTAAGCATCGTGATCATGGGCCCAGAACACTGTACACTTTGCCTCATGAAACTAACCCAGCTCTCCCTGCAGTCCTGGACATATTGAAATGGATCAGAGTGGGCCATTTCCACAATCGCTTCAGTAAGTAAGCCATGGTCTTGGGAACCACAGGCTGGCTCCTCTCCTGGAGAAGAAGTTCTAGGTATTCTACATTTCCAACTCATTACCACCATCAGAAGAGCCTCCTGTCCACGGTGGAACCGGAACAGGGAGAATACAGACAGGAACCAAATGTTGCTTCCTAGAGAATGTGGAACATCGGCAGATTTTTGATCAGACCTTTGGACATTCTGGAAGGTAGGCTCTGGGTTGCTGATGATTGACAGATGCTTCTTATATTAATCTTGCTTGACTGCTGGATGGGACCATCACAACTTGACACTGGAAGGATAGGAGCTGCCTGTTAGGGTTGTCAATGAAAGCAGAACCAGTTATGCTGACAGCGCTGTTACTAGGCCAATGAATTGCAGAACCATCAGCCATACTTAGATAAGCAGTTCGAGCACTCAGTGGTCTCTTTAGAGCGTGAGATGCTTACCCTCCAGAATGAAAATTAGAGTAAGTCATATTTACTGGAAATATCTGAAATTAGGTTGTCACCTCCAATAATCCAGTTCTTTTGTACCTCAGTTCAGTACTTAGGCTTAGCCTGCCTCTGCAGGCTTGGTGTAAGTGCTATTAGGTCCTCAGAAAGCTGTCTCCTGTCCACATAGCCAACACTTGTGACCTTGGTTCCCTAGAAATTGGTGTCACCAACAGAAAAGGCTGTACCAGGTGCCCTGTCAGCTTGCTCTCTCATGTAGGCCATTTCCACAGTACAAATCCTGCTGTGACAGGCAGCTTAACAAAACCCAAAGATCTCACAGGTCAGCCACCTGCCCCATTATTTCCAGCAATATCCACCTTACCAAATTTCCAGCTCATCCAAAGGATTGAGATGGGCTCTTCTAGTTCATCTCCCGGTGCCTGGCTTGGCCTTGACCTTCAGAAAGATGTTGTTGTTTGCCCCATAGTTCGGACTCCCATAAGTCCACCACAGGCTTTTGGGAGCTGGGAGACCAGGAAGTTGGGCCATTTCTGTCATATCCTTGTGAGTAAAGGTGGCTCTGCCTGCTGACTTGGATACAGCCTGCCTCAAGCTACCTGATTCCCAGGATAGAAACAGCCTTTGTTTTGACATCCACAGACCAAGGGGACAAGTGGAAGAACTATACTTTCACTCAGCAGGGCTTTTCCCCCTCTGTGGTCATCAACAGAGCCCAAGCCAAAGACTGCAGCTTTGAGTGGTCCTTTGGACTTTCATTAGCCCAGGGCTCTCAGGTCTACCTGATTGTGGAGGGATGTGAGCATCCCAGCACAGTTCTCAATGCCTAGGTCAACCTGTCAGGTCTCCCTCTGGTGGCATTCAGAAACCAGGAACTGATGCTACCTGAACAAACCCATTGCTCTTTTCTGTGGGTTCCCAGCACAGAAAGCCACCTGCTACATCACAAGTTAGGACATGACCCCACTGGCCCACTTGATGGCTTCGCGCTTGGCATCAGGGAGAAGGCATTGAGGTTTCCTGACTAAGAGAGAAGGGCAGCCAGTGGCGCAAATGGGAAGTCATGGATCTCGCAAAATCCGTGAAGGAATTTTGGCACCAGCCATTTGGTCTGCCAGCAGTCCTCTTGTCAGTTTGACCTGTTAGCTCTTGCACTTTCTAGAAACAATGGCGAATTCTGCAAGGCATTAGTCACTGTGAAGCTGAAACCTCTGCCTTTAGGAGCCCCCAGTTCTTAACACCTGCTTACCCCAGACTTGGGCTTGACTCCTTGATAGGTGGGCGCCCAGAGAGACGTCAGAGGTGTTGCATGTACCATCTAAGGCCACAGGGTAACCAGAAGGTTTGCAGCGGAGCCAGGGCAAACATGGAAAACAGAAGCCTGTGAGATGCTCAGCAGGTTATTATCATCGTGTTGTGCTTAGAAGAGGAGGGGCCGAGGGCATGGTGAGTGGCCTCATTCCATAAGCTGCCCTGGATTCTGAACTTCGCCCTGGCCCTGGGAGCATGGCTGTGATGCTCCTTCTGAGATGTAGTGGAGGACTCCTGGGAAGGCTGTAGTTGGCGACAGAAACACGGAGAGACTACGTGAGGCTCAGGTTGTGCCCTAGAGACCGCAGCGGGGCCTCTGGTCCCTGCCCTGCCAGTCCCACCCCTGCTGGGCAGTGGGCGATCCAGGAAGGAGCCGCCTCTCTTCACTGTGGCTAATGTTTGCTAGGCCAGTTATGGTGAACCAATGATAACGGTGTTTTCCCTTTCACGTTTCTCTCCGGGTCTCCCCTTTGCAGGGTTCCCGGGGCGGATTTTGTTCTCGTTGTTTTCTTCCTCTCTCATTTGGGTCTAAAGATCGTGGTTGGGAGAGCCCTGGCTTCTGCCCGAGGAGCCTTGAGGTTTCTGTATGAAAAGGCGCCTACTCCCATGGGAATGAAAGAGCAGCTCTGAATCACTGTCTGCCACCTTCAGGCCCCCACCCCCACCACTACCACGGGCGATGCTGTGAAGATTCAGCTCCTGTACCGAGGATTTGCCAGGTTTGCATTCGGGCATTAGCATCGTGACCCAGCAGGGTCCTGCCCGCCCAAGCGTCCCACTGGGCACCTTGACTCTTCGAACCAAAGTTCCTTAAAAGGGCACAGCCCCAGCCTTGTCCGCAACCTCAGGGGCCTGGGATCTCTTGTGGCACAGCCTGAAATCCCGGTTGGCCCAGACCGTGCGGTCTGAGACCCGCCGGAAGGAAGGGCTCCTCCCACAACCCAGTGCCAGCCGATCTCTGCCTAGGACCTCCGGCTGCCCAGCCAGGATGGGTGGCTTCCCAAGGGGCAAGCGAGCTCATGGACCGACATGGGCTGGGCCTCGCCAGCCTAGAGAGAGCAAGAGCCCCGCGGCAGGGCCATCCACATCCCAAGCATCAGGAAATCATTTTGTACAACCACCCGAAGCAGAGATATTTTTTAAGAAGCGTAAATTATTTTCAGTTTTCTGATCCTTCTTTTTTCTTTTTCCCACAACTTCACGTCGGTGATTCGTTCACATCAGGTAAATCTTGAGAACGCCTTGGTGCCCCCTCCCGCCTGCCCCCACTCAGTAACCACACGCGTGCACCCCATCCCTTCTCAGTAGTTAAGACGTTCTAGGCAATACCATAGGCACACCTGACTGTGTCTCTCTCTTAGAGTGCAAGAAACTCAAGTCATCTTAAAAAAAAAAAAAAAAAAAAAT